AATGATTCAGTTTCGAATAAACCGAGTTACTTAAAATTGGTAAAATGTACCTACACCCTTAAAGGAAAACTTTGAATTGGAGAAATTCAAAATTCAAAAAAAATTGATTTATTTTTCAATGGGCAGTACTCTTAAGGGGTATTCTTTTTGAAATAATTAATCTATTTGGCAAAACTAAAAATATTCACAAAAATCTGGAATTTAATAAAATTTTTAATTTATTTTTTTTTTTTCCATAAATTTTTAATCTCAATTAATTAACAATAATTTTGACTCTAAAAATAAACAAACAATGTAATTAGTTTTTTTAACTGCACGATCAAAAAACAATATATCAACTGGAGGTATGGTTTCAACTTGGAAAGTCTGTAGTTTAACAGAATCACAAACTTTTGCATTTTATTTAGATGTCCTTGCATTGCCTGAAACTCTTACAAAGGGGCAAAGGGGATTAATGCAATTTAAAACATTGTATAGACACCATTCTGGTCATTGGAGACTGAGGGTAACAACAACAAGCCAGCTATTTGCAAGAACCCTTACACAAATGGAAATGATTGAAAACAGTTTTGATCAAGAAGCAGCTTCCATCATTTTTGCAAGAAAGGTTATTGAAAAATCAAATAGTGAAAAGCCAAAAAATGTTTTAAGATGGCTAGATAAATCATTAATTAATTTTCTAAGCTTTGTTTCAACTTATCAAAGAAGGAAGCCAGAAACTGTAATGATCAATAAGCAATACCAATTATATCCCCAGTTTATGTATAATTTCCGAAGAAGCCAGTATCTAAAATATTTTGGTTATAGTCCCGATGAAAGCACTTTCCATAAATATACCTTTTTAAATGAAAATTGTCAAAATTCTATTTTAATGTTCCAACCAATGCTATTTGAATATTCAATGAATACTCAACAAAGACCAGTTTTGTTGGATATATCTTCCCTAAATAAGGAATATATTTTATTATTAGATACTTTTTTTTATATAATAATTTGGAGAGGTGAAAAAATCGCAAAATGGGTTAAACAAGGCTATCAAAACATGGACGAATACAAGGATTTTAAAACATTGCTAGAAATGCCTCATCAATATGCTGAAATTTTAACACAAAAAAGATTCCCTTACCCAAAGGTAATCACTTGCGTACAAGATTCAAGCAAAGAAAGATTGTTACTAACTAGATTGAACCCTTCAAAATCTTATAGAGAATCCGATTTTGATAATTATGATCAAAATATTAGTCTCACAGATGATGTTAGCTTTCAAATATTCTTAAAATATTTAAAAAAATTAATATCCAATCACTAATTTCATTTAATTATTTTTTTTTTTTTTGTTTCTTTTTTTTGATTTGGTTTTAATCGACAAACAATAATTTAATATTAAATTATTTAAAAATAAGAAAAATGATTTTATTTATTAATAAAATTTTATAAAAGAAATTCTTGAAAAATAAACCTTACATTAACGATAATTTTTTTTTTAGATTTATATCCCTCAACTTTTTTTAATAAAATACAACGATCAAGAAGATATACATTCAATTTATTCAACCTGTGAATTTTTTCTTTCCTTTCCTAATATAACCTGGAACAAAAAAAATGTTTAAAAACATTTTGTTTTTGTAATATAACCTGAAACAAAAAAAGTGGATAAATAATTTTGTTTCATCATGTTGTGACAAAAAATTGTTTCATTTCAACTTGTAAGGTTTCATTCTGAAACTTTACATAAACCAATCCTTTAAAACATTTAATCTCCTATTATAGACAGTTTATTCAACTTGAGAATATTTCTTTCATTACAAAGTCTAACAGGATTGAAAAAAATTTCTTTAAATAATTTTTTGTTTCGGGTTATATTATAAAAATAAAATGTTTTTAAATATTTTTTTTGTTTCAGGTTATATTATGAAAGGATTGAAAAAAATCACAGGTTGAATAAATTGGCTGTGTGATATTTCGAAAAAGGTAAGGAACATTTTATTGTAAAATATCTTTATTAAACTTATTTTTAATATTATTATTGAAATATCAACAATTTTTTTGATTAGAAATTGGTTATTGATAATAATTCAATTGTTTAATTTTGAAAGGATTCCCAAAATCAAAGACACAAAGTTTTTGATCTTAATTTAAAGTGGGTATTTTTTAGGTATGAAATGTGGCGATTATTTTTTTCTTTTTTTTTTTTCATTGTGAATAGTTTAAAAACAAGTATTAATCTTGTTAGAACTTCGAATAAAAGGAAACTTTGTAACTGGATTTTATTTTTGCAACAGTTTTTCATATCCTTTAGAACGGTTTCTTTTTTTTTTAACTCGTTAATTATTCACAAGAAGGAATCGGGGTTTATCAGGGTTTTCCTCGTTCCGTTTTTTATTTCGATTTATTACTCATTTTCTTTTAGATAAAAATAAATAACTAGCAATATATGTTAAATTATTTGTGGGTTAACTTGATGTTAATTAGGAAATGATCACTAATTGAAATAAATTATCAATTAAAAACAATATATAAAATCATCAGAGGTTTTTGAATTAATCCAAACAATGTTAAAACAGAAAAATAATAATAATAAAAAGACAAAAGGAATTTTATATTTGGGTGTCTGACTTAATGAATAACCCATCTAAAATTCAACCTTAAAAAGGTTGATAATACTTTTTAAAAAAATTCTTCATATTTTCAAAGAAAAAAATTTTTTCTAATGGGTTAAAAATTCAAGTACATAAGGTAGTTTTACATAGTCAACTATTATATAGATTGAAATATTTGACTTCACAGATCTGATTTCAAAAACATTGATATATCTATTAATAAAAAAAAAAAAAAAAACAGAATCATTATTAATCAACCACAATTCCCAAGACTTATCCTTAAAATCTAAGTAGAAAATGATTCAGTAAGAATCACAATATACAAAACAATTTGATATTTAATCTTCAAAAAATCAAAAACCTATATCAAAAAATCAATCAATACATTTTAATAAAAAAAAATAACAATGGATTAAAAATTCGTTTTTTTAAAGCTGTTTTAGATAGTCAATTATTATATGAGTTTGAAATCTTTAATTGGGTATAGAAAGATTTCTATTTAATAGGTGTGTTGATATTTAAATAAAAAATAAGAAATTTTTATTTGTAACTCTAAACTCGTGGTGGTTAATCTATAAATTTTGGGATAAATTCGATCAGGTAGAATAAGAATAAAAATAAGAATAGTTATATTTTTCCAAAAATTACAATTTTTGTATTTTCGTGAAATAGTAAATAATATTAAATTTTGGAGAGTATGGATTAGAAAATATAAACTGGAAATCAAAAAAATTAAAAGAATTGGAAATTGGGCAAGATGGTTATTGGATTAATCAAAAGTAGAAAAGGTCCGAGTTATGTATGTTGTTGTTTTTTCTGTAATACAGGGGGGGGGGGGTGTGGATTAAAACAAATAAATTTCTCTATTTTTTGAATTCTTGTCTCTGATATTTGCTTTTTTTTTAATTTAATAATTATTTGGAAAATTTCAGAAATTTTCGGTTTATTTCAAAAATGAAAAAAAAAAATCAACATAGGTGTGTAAAAGTGCCATTGGGTACCTATATTTTCCAGAGTTTAAAAGAATGGAGTAAAAACAAAGATTTTATTCTATTCTTATCATTTTTGGAATTTCTAAAGTGTAAAGATATTTAAAAAAGTTGGTTAAACTTCGATTCTAAATTACATTTATTATACAAATTATTTGACTAGATATGTTTATGTTCTGAATAAAAAAAAAAAAAAGATCAGGGGTTGTGAATTATATAAAAAAAATAAAAGAAAGGTAGATAATATTGAAAATTTTAGATCATTTGTTCTTGAATAATTCAACGGCCAAAAATAATTGTTAAATTTGGATTTCTAAATGAATCACTAATAATATTTTTAATATATTAAAAAATATTAATATTTTTGATATTATTAGTAAAAATATCAAATATGTGTATTCTCAGTGGTGGATAATAATTGAATTTTATAGTCTTAAAAAATTCATTAATAAAATTTTAGAAACATAATATATCAGAGGAATTAACAACTCCGTCATTAAATAATCATTAAATATTTTTTTTACAATTAATTTTTGGTCTGTTATCTAAACTCTATTTCAAAGAATGTTATTTATATGAAATGATAAATTGAAAAAAAATATACCCTTTAGTAAACAAGAAGGGTTGTAAATTAAATTTGATTATTAATTCACTTTTAAATCAAACCAAAAATATAAAAACCTGATATATTACATACAAAAAAAAATCAAACCAAAAATAAAAAAAAAGTAAGTCATAATTTTTGAAATGAGAAATACTGATTTTTTATTACTGAACTTTGACTGAAAAAAGGTTAACAAGAAGGTTTTTTGTGAATAATTAAATTCATTTAAAAAAAAAATTACAAAGGCTAATTTTTCTTTATGATTATTTTAATTTTCAAAGTTCTTTTTTTTTTTCCTCATGATCTTTTTTTTAATAAAAAAAAAGAAAAAAGCAAAAAAAAAAGTATAGAAAAAAATTGAAAAAGTTTTCAAAAAAAACAAGTATAGAAAAAAAAAAAGTAAATGGTAAAAGTTAGAATAAAAAAAAAACAGAAAATTGAAAAATAGAAATGAAAATAGATCAAAACTTTGATAATTTTTTTTTGACAAGAATTATGGATAAAACTATAGGAACTAATTCGAATAATTACAAAATCGGGTCGGGTCAACTTTTTTCAAAAATAGTTTGGTACGAATAACAATTATTGGTCTGTTGTAATTTATATCTATCTGAGCATCAATATACCCAAAAACAATTTTTAGAACATCTTTAAAAATTCATTTTAAAAACGATTTGTCAATAATTAGATTTTTTAGGAAATTAATAAATAGCCTTTTTATTGGTAGGAAAGATTTTTTTAAAATTTTTTGTCTTTTCTTGATCGAGCTCGAATGGTATAATTCAGACTCAAAAAGGTCATAAAAAACGACCCTAAAAGGATTTGAACCTTTGCCACTTGAGAAAGCAGAGTCAAGTATTCTACCATTAAACTATTGGGTCTTCTTTGAAAATAAGATATTATTAAACAATGAATTTTTTTTTTATCATTTTAATAGGAAAAATTAAAATGAATCATTTTATTTTAATTAGTTAAAATAAAGATTAACAAATATTTTTACAAATTCAAAACAACAGTTAAACAACCACAGAGCGAGGAATTGAAATATAATTCATTTTTTTCTCTTTAAAAGTTGACTGTAAATTTATTGTAAATTGTTTTTCTTGAAGAAAATGTAAATATTGTTTTTGAACAAGAAATAATAATTTTAATCTAACAAAGACCCAAAATGGAAAATATTGGAAAGAAAGAACGAAACATTATTTTGGAAAAGAAAATATTTCATTCAGATTTGTGAGTGACACATTTTGCAAAATAATAACTTTCCCCACAATTTAAAAACGACCTATCTATCAATTATTTAACCACCGATAAACTAATGTGTTGGTAAATTAGAACAATGATAAATATTTAAAAGAAAAAAAAAGAAACTTGAAAAAAAAAATTTTTTATTCCAAGTTTCTTTTTTTTTCTTTTAAATTGGGTTTTAACAAAATGAACTGAACAAAAGAGTTTGTGAAAATGGGTGTCATAATTACCATATAATTAAATTAAGTGTAAAATTTCTTATCAAACATTTTCAGCAATAATAATAAGGCTTATTTTGAATTGTTGCCAATTAAGATCTGTCTTCCATTAAAATCATTTCAGTGAACAGAGCATAAATCTTTCCCTAATTCAAACAAAAAAATCGACATTACTATTAATTGTTTTCTGAACCACGGATCATAAACATCATGGTGTTAGAAAATTGACCTTTTTAGAGAAAAAAAAAACACACAAAGACTTGCAAGAAAAATATTTAGGTTCAAAAAGGTAAAGAATTCACACCTTGATTTCTACTTTCAACAAAAATACTATTGTTTGTGGTTGTTGAATCAACAGTTTTAAATTTTTTATTTTTTTTTGAAAGATTTTTGAATCTTTCTTTCTCTTTTTCGTTTAGTTTGTTCCTAAAGTATATTTTTTTTTTTTGGAATAGTTGTTTGATTTTTGGGTTTGAGTGGTAAAAGGTTGAATTGAAAAAAAAATAATTTCGTCAAAATGTTGATTAAATATCATTTGTTAAGTTTTTCTACAATTATTGATACACACCTCTTTGAATTTCTGAACAAAGAGTCTAACTTTACAAACACTAAAGAAACCTTTTATTAAAGTTTTCGAAAAAAACGTTAATTCTGAAAAAGTAAATTGTATTTTTCTTTGAATTCAAAAGAACAGAGAAAATAAAAAACAAAGTGTTAAAGGTCTTGTTTTCATTCAAATTTCTCTTTCAAAACACGAAATAGAGAAAATATTGAAAAGCTGCGTCAATTGTTCTTCATGTAAAATTTATGATAAAAAATCATTGTAAACTTTTAAAAATCAAATTTATTTGGGAGTTTTTTTAGAAAAAATAAACTAACATTCAACTTAAAAAAATTACTATTCCACCTATTTCTGAAACTAAAAATATTGTTAAGTTTGTCATTTTTCTTAAAAAATTAAAAAATAGGATTTTTTTTTTTTAAACTTTAGAAAATCACAGAAACCAATTTTTCAATGATCAGAAATTTCAAACTTTCAAACCAATACCCAGAAAAGAGTCTAACTCTTGTCAAATTAATTTAATATTTAATTTGAAGCTAAATCCTGGAAAATAATTTACTGATAAAAAAAAAGTACGTCAGTTGTTAAAAACAACGTCTAGGAATTTGTTCGTAATGATTTTTGTTTTTGTTTGTGTTTCTATATTCTCCACAGAAAAATTCTTTTTCCTTCTTTTTCTTTTTTCAATTCCTAACTTTTTCTTTTTCTTTTTCTGTTCTTTTTTTTCTTGCTTTTTCTTTTTCATTTTCACTTTCACTTTTATTGCCTTTTTCTTTTTCCTTTCCTTTTTCTTTTACTTTTTTTTCTTGCAAAAAATCAATGTGGAAAAAAAAAGATCTTCGAAAAGATCAATAATCAGTAAAAAAATTTCAGCTATGTAAAGTCTTTGAAAATGAATTTAATTATTGGTACAAAATCTTTTTGTAAACTTTTTTTCAGTGAAAGTTGGGTAATAAAACATCCATAACTGTTATGAAAGAAAAGTGAAACTAGAAAAAGAGTTCAACACAATTTTTAATTGGAACTTTAATAGAACCTGAAAAATAGAAAAGTAAGATCACTACATAAAAGAATAAATAAATAAATAATGATAAAATGAAGTATACAACACAATAACAGTTTTTTTTAATACTATCTTTTGGTATGGTTTTTCTTTGATTGATCTATTACTGTTGAGAGAAAAATGTTGTCAAGAGAAAAATAGTTGAGCAGCAATTTTAATTGGGAACATTAATAGAACCTGAAAATGATTTTTAATTTCTTTCGTTTGTGAAATAACTAAAGAAAATAACAATATTCTACTTATTAGAATAACAATTAATGTAATTCTACTTTTCCAAAACCTTCTCTCTTATAATCTGAAGCAAGTATAAACATTACCATTTTTAGAATTAATAGTAAACTTTACTAAAACTTGGATTTTTGTTAAAATAGCAAGATCTACTTTAGTTATCAACCATTCAAATGAGTATTCTACACAAACCACAGATTAATGAACTTTTAACACATTTAAACCTGGATTTATATAAAATTCACCTAGTTATCAAGAGGATTTGATTTTCATTTTTACTAATGTTCCTAATTATAAATGGTGTCCAACCATTTTTCTGTGTCAAACATTTTTCTCTCAACTATTATTAAAAATTTTTTCAAAAAATTGACTATTTTTGAGATCTCCAAAACCACATCCATAATTTCGATATGTGAGTTTAGATTTAAATTGTGTTTATTGATTTGATTGAAAATAATAAACTAAATTTCCTTATAAATGACCAAATTTTTTTTTATTTTTATTTATTTTATAATGAGATGAAAAAGACATATTACTACTGTGTATAACTGAATATTAAAATAGTAATTTTTTTATTTAAATAGATAACTTCAATTTATAAAAACATTAATGCTCAAAATTTGATTTTTAATGGACAAATGATTTTGTAATACAGTTTATAATGGATTATTATTTGAAGTTAATTTATTTTTCCTTTTAATTCATTTTACTTTTTGTTTTAAGTCGAATGTTCCCAATGAAAAATTGTGTTTAACTTTTTTTTCCACAACCCTAATGCTCATTTTAAAAATTGTAACTTAATTTTTTTAGTTTTTGGTTTTATTATTTCTTAATTTTTTAAAAATCGGATTTTTATAGATCTAGAATAATTTAAAAGTGAATTTCAAATCAACATTTAATTATTTGTTGTTCTTCAAGATAAAAGGATATATTTTTTTTATTTCAGGTTAGTCACAGTTTTGGAAATGGGGTTTAGTTAATAGAATATTAAATTTTTTTAAAAAAATTAAACAATTAACCCAGTGATCATTTTGACAAATTGTTCTGCTAATAATGTAGAAATATTGATAATACAACAAGTTTTTAAAAAGGAAACAAAATTGATTATTCTTTAGGTTTTTTCGTTGATAAATTAATTGACTAAACTTGAAATAAAAAAAAAAAATAAAATACAAAAATATTTTCTTTTGGAAGGTTCGAAATATGAATTAAAATAAATACAAGGATACTACTATAATGGTTTGCATTTTCAGGTTTGTAAAAGGAAATAAAAAACCAATTTCCCAAAAATAACAATTTATGTTGTGATTATTGATAAATAATTAAAACCTTCTTGTTCAATAATATGGATATTTGGTTTTTTTTTCTAGACATTTAAACAATTAAGACAAACATGATTTATTTAAAATCACAACAAACTTTAATTATATAAGAATATATGATGAAGTTTACCGATTACACTTACATAAGATAAAATATCAACTAAACCCAATTACTACTGGAATCTACGAAGAGATATTGATTGACTAACATTCATATTCAGAATAACAAATAAAATCACAAGAACTTAAATTTTGAGAGCTTATTTCAAGTAATAGATAATTATTGAGTGATTTTCCAACCAATTTACCAAACCAATCACAATATAAGAAAATAAAAGTATGGAATATTCCTTAATTTAATATTTTTTTCAACTGATTTCATTATTCAAAATGATTATTTTTTCTGAAGATCTTTACTTTGATCAAATAATTATATTTATAATTTACAATAAACAGTTTTCACTCAAAGTAAAACATCTGTAATGAATTAATTATACGTGTTTGAAATGATTGAATGGCTATTAGAAGAAATAAAATAATTTTAAAATTTTTCAAAATTGAAATCATTTTTTTACCTTTTTGTACATTTTACTTTTTTTTTTTTTATTTTTTTTTTCATTTTTTTGAGGTCTAATTGGTTTCCTATTTGTTTTGTTTATTGCATGATATATAGTTTTAAGGTAAAATTTTAATAACGTTATTGAAACAGTGGAAATGATTGTAGAAAAATCATATTGATTTCTATTGGAATTTTACTTTGATCTTCAATTAAAGATCAGTAAACTTTATTGTTTTTCTCAATTTGTCACCTAAGAATTTTCGTTTTTCAATTTTTAAGAAAATATATTAATTAATTGAATATTCCAGACTAATCCCTACTAATCTTTATTATTCGACTTCTATATTATTACAAGTTCTATTATAAAAAAAAATTGATATTTGGAACATTTTTTTACCCCCCTTTTAGTAGGAATATTCAAGAATCATAGAAACGAATAACAGCATCAAAACAATGAAAAATTTTGAATTTTAAATGTTATTTTCCTTTATTTTCAATAATTTAACAGATACCTATTTAAAATTTGTCTTATTAAGGAGATTATTCATTCAAACATTCAATCTTTAAATCATTGTTTAAGTTAATTTTTGATCTTGGAAAGGCAACAAATGAAACAGTAAAAAAAAACAAGCAATATAACTTTTTTAAATTCGATAATTATAATAAATGAAATTGATATAT